CTCATTGACTGTGGGAGGCTCGACACAGGGCGCAAGGCCTGATGTGAATGAAGCAGTAGTAAGCACAGAGATGTGCATCATCTACAGCAGTAAATCATTTGGATGTCATGTTGCAGATTCCAAAGTTTGCCAAGAGTTAGAGAATTGTGATTTCTTGTTTTCTCTTTCCTTCCCTCCCTCCTTCCTTCCTTCCTTCCTTCCTTCCTTCCTTCCTTTCTTCCTTCCTTCCTTCCTTCCTTCCTTCCTTCCTTCCTTCCTTCCTTCTCTCTCCTTTCTCTCCTTTCTCTCTCTCTCTACCACTCTCTCCCCTCTTCCTCCTCCTCCTCCTGTGTAGTATTCAGGTATGAACACAGATACTTGCACTTTTATGATTTGGGCCATACCTCCAGAATTTTTTTTGATTTAGTTTGATTTAGTTTTTCCCAGGTAGGGTCTTGAGGTTTTTTTTGTCCAGGCCTGCCTAGGATTGAAATCTTCCTACCTACATTTCCTGCATAACTGGGATTACAGATGCATGCCACTACATGCCCAGCTTGTTTGTTAAGATGAGGTGTTACTAAATTTTTATGTGGGTTGAATAGCAATCCTTCTGATTTCTGCCTTGCTAGTAACTGTAACTAGGGATATGTATTACAATGCCTGGCTCCATTTAAAAAAATGGAGGCAGGGTCTTCATAAATATCCCAGGCTAACTTTGAAGACTTGCACTCAAGATCCTCTGTTCTCAGCCTCCTGAGTAGTGGGATTACAGGCATGAACCACCAGGCCTGGCAAGATTCTCTCTTTCTCAATTGAATGAAAGTAAACTCATACATAGTTAGACACTGCGTAAGTTCATGTTGTGCAGTGGTGGGCTGCATGTATGACAGTAGTCCTAGGAGACCGTGTGGCTCAGGTGGCGTAGCCATTGTAGTTCATGTAAGTATACTCTGGCATGTTCACTCAGTCACCAAGTTGCTTTATGATGTATTTCTCAGAACCTACTGCTGGTATTCAACTGTGCAAGACTGAGTGTTAGTAAATGACGTAATGGGACATTCAGTTATTTCATTCATTCCAACTTGCTGAATGGCTTTCTGACTCCATCTGACAGCTTGAGTACACCCCTTCTGTCCCAACGCAATTGGGTATTGGGCAGTGGAGGAAGAGCGAGCAGAGATTCGAGGGTGTTCTTCTGAGTGAGAGTTTGAGCTTTCTGTTTGGAATCCTAGCAATGTCTCTCTGTGCTTTGTTAATTAGGGATGAGGGGAGGGGGATGTCAATAATGAACACTGGGCTTCGCAGCAGCCTTCAGTTCCCCACACATGTCCCACAGGTATCTTCCTAAGCGCCATTTCCTCAGGGGTGTCAGATGATTTGGGGGCTGCTCCGTGTTGGCAGAGGTGTTAAGTGGAGTAATTCTAGCTTAACACAGTGCAAGGATGTTCTTTTTCACCTATGTAGCAGTCTAAACTGAGTTAAGGATTATTACATGGCCTGAAACCAACCAGACACACACACACACACACACACACACACACACACACACACACACACCCCTTATGAAGGAGCAAATGTGGTGAGGTAATCTATCTGTGGCTCACAATGCTTAAACTACTTATAATCTGGCCATGTATGAATAAGTTTAATGACCCTGAGCTGTTTCCTTCAGGCAATCGAGGCTCTTTCCATCTTTTGGCTCCAAGACAGGAAAGAGATAGTGGAAAAGACACACTTACCTCTTAATAATACCAATCATAGATTAAATGCATCATTGACTGGATTCAGGTGGGGGTGAAAATGTAGTCTCTGGCAGCTATCTCCTGGCAATGACTATTCTGAAGAAGGGGAATCATGGATCTCTCTCTCTCCCTCCCTCCCTCCCTCCCTCCCTCCCTCCCCCCCCTCTCTGTGCTTCAGATTTTGAGGAACAAAGCAGGGTATTTCAGTGTAACTAATCTGGACCTGATACAAACCCTCAGGCTCTCCCATCCTCTCTGTGAGCTATGCATCAGAGAAATGATTATAAAGCTGCTGCTTTGTACCAGACATCCTGGTGGGTGTAGAGGGCATCTGCTCTATACCAGGATCATCTTCATCATCCATCCTGGTACAGAGCAGGTTGGCTTGGCTTGAAGGTACGTTTGGAGGAATTGGAGGGGAAGGGCCACAGAGGAAAAGCTCCCAAATGGAGATAGAATGAAGAAAGGTGAGTTACAGCTCTAAGGACAGGGCAAGAGTCAGGAAGAAGAGTAGCAGTTCATAGACAGGGTAGCCAAGCTAGCATTCTGCAGCTCCAGGGCTTGAGATATGTGCTTCTGAATCTTACTTTCTTCATGATTATACTATAAGAAAAAGAAAGTACCTTTCCGAGAACTTCACTGCACAACACCTGTTTGTTACCTGGCAGATGCCAGACTCTTACAGCACCTGGGTATAGTAAGTATATCTATTAGGAAAGGTGTACAGTGTACTGTTCTGAGATTGTTACATTCTGAGCCAGAATGCACAGTGATGTGTGTGTGTGTGTGTGTGTGTGTGTAAGTATGCAGAGATTATGTCCTGGACCCAACAGAAGCATGAAGCATGCAGGGCTACAACACAATTCTTCATCCAGGAAGCTTGTGTTTACAGGCTGGCACTGTGGGAATGCTGGCCTACGGACTCAGGCAGTGGAGAAGACGCACACAGGAATCCAAAGACTGCAACCTTGCTCCTTTCTGGGTTTGGGTCACCACATGCTTTCATTGTCAGGAAATCATGGAATGCTGAAGCCAGAGCAGCTTGCTTAATTGTTTATATGGGAAAGGGCAAGTACTTTAAACTTTGGTAAACCTGGATTCCAGTTCTAGTTCAGGCATTTGTGACCACAGGGAAAACACATTTTGTTCCTTCAATGGGTCAGGAAAAGTGAATAATTCGCCCAAGGTTACAGAACTCGCATGTAAAATTATTTCAATCATCAGTGATAACAAGCTACTGCAAAGCTTATAGAGGGCTGGGGGAAGGGCAGGAAAAGAGACACAATAGAGAAGGTTATTCTGAGAAAAATATATGCACTTTTGAAATAGCATGGGGGGAACTCTTGGGTATAATTAATCCACATTTAAAAATATAAATGACAGGAAAGCAAAACAGGATCTCTTGGGGGAAGGTGGGCATCAGAGAGACAAGAAAAAGGAAGAGGGTTAGTGATATGGCCATCATAGTTATTTGCATATATGCAAACAGAACAAGGAAACCTGTTGAAATTGTTTTAGAACAAGCATGGGGGAGAAGGGAGAGGGCGGGAGCTCGATCAGGATATATTATATGCATGCATGGAAATGTCACAACGCTCCCCCGCCCCAACCCCAACCCCTGTAACAGATGCAGGTTAATTAAGAAAATAGGGTCTTAAAAATAGCAACCATCAATTATTTAGCTCACCAATGTTCAGTATGGTGGTGGCTCAGTGGGGAAGCCTAGCGTCAGTTTTGCTATTTTGACTAGGGATTGGAGGAGCTACGTCTCAGATTTTCTTGTTCATCTGGGCTGGTATATTAGTGGTTGACTTTTAGTGGGCACTTGGTCCGGGGCTGAGGGCTGGAGACAAACTCAGGCCTTTCCACAGGACATGTCAGCTTCATGAAACAGGAAGTAGAATTTGGATTTCAAGAAGCAGGAAGTGGAAGCTTCCTCAAGAAGGAAACTGATACAGTGTCATTTCTCAGTCTGCTGTTACTCACCCGGCCCCGATTCAAGGGCAATAGGTACTATTTCCTCTTTTCAATGGGAAGAATACTAGGAAATATTTGGACTGTGTATAAAAATGGGCAGAGCAATGGGTACCATACATGTGCTTGTTTAATCTCAAAATAAGACAGGTTTCATCTATTGTACCTCTTATTGTGTGTTTTACAAAATGAGAATTATCTAGTTCCTATTCAAGCTGGATCTTGTTGGTCCTGTTTTAGTAGCTCTATTCATTCTCTGGGCCCAATGACATTCTTGGTTATTGGCTATCATGTTATATTTACAACTCCCCAGTCTGGTCTTCCTGCCTCTTTTCTTGTTGTTTTCAAACCTCTTGTTGTTTTCATACTGTTATTTCTCTGCACAGACCTTATCAAGGCTCATAGGTGTTCTTAGCCTGAATTTCAACTTTTTACATGAATTTAGCTAATATTCTTCATTACGTGGCTCTAGCCAAGCTCAAGCCTCATACTCTATTCCAGAAGTCAATGCATTGAAGTTCTCCGTAACATTCACACACCCAAACAAGATGCTAAGGGCTCTATAGAGATTACTTGGATTAAAATTTCATTGTTCTGCTGGGTGCTGGTGGTCCCTGCCTGTAATCCTAGCTACCCAGAAGGCCAGGGGTCATGATTCAAAGCTAACCTGGGCGGGAAACTCCTAGAGATTCTTTAACCACCCAAAAGCTCAAAATGAAGCTGTAGCTTCAACGTAGAGCACAAACCTTGAATAAGAAAGCTAAGGGGGCAGCTCTCAGACCCTCAGTTCAAGTCCCAGTACTGGCCTTTAAAAAAATATCACACTTTTAAAAGGTTTTTCCTCCTATTCAAAGCCAGGTATGCTTAGCCAAGCTCTTAATTTCTATGGCAAACTGCACTGACTTGTAATTTCCCAAATCCACAATGATCTTCACCATGTCTGAGATATATACCTGCAATATCTTTTCTACTTCTCCACCTTTTATTTCATTAACTTATACTTCTCTTTCAGGTTCAATTTTAGACAGTCCTTCCAAGAAGATTTCTCAAGATGACTTAAGCTTCCCTGCTACTTCCTACCATAATCCTTTGTCTTATTTCTATCTAGAGTTTTTATCATTTTGTACTGGACTGCTCTTGTGTCCATCACTGACTAAAAGAATTCTTTGTGGCTACGGTCAGTATCTTGATTTTACTGTCCTTTTTTTGCAGTGGAAAGTGTGTTAATCCCACATCCTTCCAGGTTCTGATTGAATTTCATGGTCTCTGTAAGGCTATGACTCTACTGAGTCCTCATTCCCATATATGCAGCCACATACTCAGAACTGGACCCAGGTCACAGAGTTCGTCATGGTGGGCTTTGCTGAGGTGTACGAAGAACGCTTCCTTTTCTTCACACTTTTTCTCATCATGTACCTGTTCACGTTGGCAGAGAACACGGCCATCATCTTAGTGGTAGGCTTGAACCATCGACTACAGAGACCCATGTATTTCTTCCTGACACATTTGTCCTGCCTTGAAATCTGTTACACGACTGTCACAGTTCCCAAGATGCTGGCTGGTTTTGTGGATGTCAATGGGGGCAAAACGATATCCTATGCTGGCTGCCTGTCCCAGCTCTTCATCTTCACCTTCCTAGGAGCTACCGAGTGTTTCCTACTGGCTGCCATGGCTTATGACCGCTATGTGGCCATTTGCATGCCACTCCGCTATGGGTCCTTAGTGTCCTGGGGTACCTGTATCCATCTGGCAGCTGCTTGTTGGCTGGTTGGCTTTCTCACACCCATTTTGCCTATCTACCTCATGACTCAGTTGACATTTTGTGGTCCCAACGTTGTGGATCACTTCTTCTGCGATGACTCGCCTCTGCTTGCTCTGTCCTGCTCCGATGTCACGCTGAAGGAGACCACGGATTTCATGGTGTCTCTGGCTGTGCTCCTGGCCTCCTCTACAGTCATTGCTGTGTCCTATGGCAACATTGTCTGGACACTGCTGCACATCCGCTCAGCTGCAGAACGTCAGAAGGCCTTTTCCACGTGTGCCGCTCACCTCACAGTGGTGGGCATCTTCTATGGCACACTTTTCTTTATGTATGTCCGGACCAAGGTGGCTTCCTCCATTAACTTCAACAAGGTGGTGTCTGTCTTCTACTCCATTGTCACACCCATGCTCAACCCCCTCATCTACAGCCTTCGCAACAAGGAGGTGAAGGGAGCCCTGGGCCGAGTCTTGTCCCTCAAGTCTTGGAAAAGGAAGTGAAGAGTCAGGTGGCTCTTCTTTAAGATTGCTTTAAAATTTCTTTAAAAAGTTCTCTTCTCTCCTCCCTTGCACCCCATTTTCTTCCTATAGAGACTTTCTAAATCTGACTAATTCCATTAAGATATTTATACCTACGTTTCTCTTCTAGTTTTTTTTGATCCCCCCAAACTTTGCTTTTCGTTATCCATCCATTGCATTGCTTCTTCATGTAGTATCTATTTTCTGTCCTATCTTGTTCCCAAATCTCCATCTCTTTCCCAAGAATTGGATAATTCTCGTGTATTATTCTTACTGAATGTGTTTTCTGCTATTTTTTAAAAGCGTGTACCTCTTTTCTTCCTTCTATGTCCATGGTTCATAGGTTTTGTCTTTTAAATGTTACCCCTGAGGTCTTGTAGGTAGTTCATGTTTTTAATTTTTTTCTTCATTTCTCTCTGAATGTTCTAATTTTCTTATTTTTCCTTCAAGCCCTGGCATTGTTTTCTGCACTGTCTAGTTTATTGGTGAGGTTTTTGAATTAGTTTTAAAAGATGTTACATACTGAAATTTTCATTTCCAAATTCCCAGTTTGTTTCTCAGAATTTATATCTCTTAAAAATTGAATTCCACTTTCATATCTTGTATTGTCTTCTTCATTTCATTCAGCTTTTTGTTTGTGTTACCTTTGAATTCATCCACGTATTTATTGATGTTCTTGAATTTGTTGATCATTATTACAATCACTTGGTTGAATTCTTTGGTTAGCATTTTATCCACGCCACTGTCCTTAGAATCTATTACTGTGGAATTAAGCTTTTGAGGAGTTTCTTCTCCATTGGGATTTGCGTATCTAGGACAAAGTCATTGGTTGGAGACTTTAAACACCTGTGATGTTCCAATGATGCATTTTCAATGTTTAAAGCAGGATTAAGTTGTGGCAGAATTGAAGTACCAGTTCTTCCTCTGGACAGGGGTATAACTCAGTAGCCAAAATTGCTCAAAGTGAATAAAACAGTAGGCCTGATTCCACAATACTGCTCAGGGAGGAGAATGCTACCTGCAGTGCTAATGACAACTGATACACACAAACACAAACTTTTTATAGAAATGTAGTAATAACCAGTTAAAAACATTCACTACTACCCAGTAACATTAGAGGAATAAAGCATGAGCTAAGAAGATAAATACAAAGAAAACAAAATGAAAAAGGAAGAGAATTCAACAACCAATTAATGAACAAAACAAAACAAAAAGCAAAAACTCCACAAACCCTAAATCCAAGGACAATAGCAATACAACCACCACCACCACCACCAATAGCAGCAGCAGGCAGCAACAACAACAAGAACTAAAACAAAACAAACCAAAGTTCAAAAATTAGATGTTAAATGGAGAACTAATGCAAGGAATGCTTAAAAGCAAAAAAAAAAAGTGTAAAAAAGTAGAATAGAAAAAAGTATAGAAAAGCAAGCAAGCAGAAAAAAGAAAAAAATGGAGAAAATAAAATTAAAATTAAGAAAAAGAGGGAGAGAGGACAGGATTCCGGTCCTCTAAAGATCATCAATTGTGTGAGCACAGTACCAAATCTTGCTGTTTACTGACTAGCACTATTTTTCCAGACCATTTCAGCTATACGCCATCCAGCGAGAGAAGAGTCTGGAGCGCGTCTTTAGAGAATGGCTCTGGGGCAGGGAAGCCTTCTGAGGATAGAGTCAATGTCACCACAGACTCTAGAGTGCTGCATCCTGCTAAAGTCTCCCCACTGTTCCCTCCTGCTCTCTGAGCTCTGGTAGCTGCTCCTCCACGTAACTGTCCCGATGGGAAGTGACTTCCTTTCTTCTCTGCAGCTCTTCTCAGTTTCCCACCTTGTGGAGAGACACAGAGGTGTCTCTGACTCTGAGTCAGAACCCTGTAGCTTGCCCAGCTTTGCAGGCTACCTTTCAGTGGACAAACAGCCCTTGCTGTAGATTCTGAGAGACAGAACAATTTGGACTTCCAAGGCTACAAAGTCAGAGAGGGAGTCCTATCAAAATGGCTTCTTGCCCCTGTGCTTGTTACTGAGTGGCAGGAAAAACTAAGAACTTCCCCCGTGCCCATGTGCAAGGTTAGGTTACAAACCTTCTGGGTATTGAGTCCATAAATCTTATAGGTATTGAGTTAATTGTGCCTTTGGGGGTGGGGTGGGGATCTTTCCTTTTTCTTTTCTGCTGCTTTTCTCTAGGCTCTTTCTACTGGTCTGCTCACTGAAACAATTTCTATGTTTCCTTATCCTCTCTAAATTTTCTGTTATTTATGTATTTCTATTATTTTAAAATAAAGTTCTGGCAGTATTTATTACTGTCATTTAAAAGCAAACTTCTGTCTGCAGGTTTTCTGAGATTTTTGGCTCTTCGAGTCTTTGGTTTGCAACACTGCCCTCTACAGGTGAGTGCTCTCTGAGCTCCATGTTGGACACATGCCCACTGAAGCTGTTTTTCCTAAACTTTTCTACTTTTCAAAAATTCTCATCAAAATACGTTTCTTTCTGTTTGGTACTGAAAATCCAGTGCCTTTCTACCATCCTCTTCCTCAAAGGGTATCTAGCTCTTTCTGGTCCATTTGTTGAAGATGCTAGCAAATAGTGTGTGGCAGTATTCTGATATCTATTTCTTTCTTTCTTTTTTTTTTTTTTTGGGTCGGGTTGTGGGGCTGAGCTCTGGGCCTGGGCGCTGTCCCTCAGCTCTTCAGCTCAAGGCTAGCGCTCTACCACTTGAGCCACAGCTCCACTTCCTGCTTTTTTCTTTTTTCTTATGTGGGGCTGAGGAATCAAACCCAGGGCCTTAAGCATGCAAGGCAAGCGCTCTACCACTGAGCCACCTTCCCAGCCCCTCTATTTACTTTCTTGAGATAGAGTTTCACTGTATGACTCAGGACTAGCCTGGAACCTACAATCCTTCTGCCTCTGCCTTACAGATGCTAGGACTGTAGGTGTGTTCTACTATGCTTGGCTTACCTTGCATATTTCAAAGGAGGGTGATGCGCACCAAGCAGGTCCTGATTGGAAAGTCAGAAGTTATGGATGTGTAATAGTTAACAGAAAATGCTCATATTCTATAACAAGAAAAATGTAACCATACTATAGTTTAAGAAGTGAAGGATGTTTTCCTTTTCTAGCAGGGGTGGCAGGTGAATGTTCCAGGTATATGGGTAACTAACTCTGCTTAACCACATTTTTTCCACTTTATTGGGACAATGGTCACTAAGGTGTTGACAAAGTAAAGGTTTCAGGCCAAATTCAGCTCAGGACTTGCTTTTTAATAGCTTGTGAATGGAGAGTGGTTTTCATTCTTTCTAATGCTTAAATAAAAATTAACAGGAAAACTTTATCAAGCCAAGGGCGGATGGCCCATGTCTGTAATTCTAGTTACTCAGGAGGCTGAGATCTGCAGATCACAGTTCAAAGCCAGCCAGGGCAGGAACATTCATGAGACTCTTATCTCCAATTAACCATCAGAAAACTGGAAGTGGCATTGTGGCTCAAAGTGGTAGAGCTTTAGCCTTGAGTGAAAAAGTTCAGGGATAGCACCTAGGCACTGATTTCAAGCCCCACGATTGACTATATGTGTGTGTGTGTGTGTGTGTGTGTGTGTGTGTGTGTATGTATATATAAAGTTTATAAATCAAATAATCTCCTTATTACATAGTCACATACGTATATCTTGCCACAATGACAGGTAGAGATTTTTTTTTTTTGCTACAGTGGTGTAATAGAATAGTTACAGTAAAGACTCTTTCCATTGCTTGGCCCAGAGTCTTGTTGCTATTTACATGGTCAACACTGAGCAAGAGGATAAAGATTGCACAACCTGAATCATAAGGTTTCTTGACCAGATGTAGTAATGGTCAGTTATACTCATCTGTTTGGTGAAAAGTGAGACATACAGCATGAATAATGGCAGGGTGGTAATAATAGTTGGGCACCATTGGATTATTGTAATAAGAGGACCACTAAGTTTGGTAGGGAACCAGCTGTTTCCACCATAGACCAAACCCCCTTAACAGCCAAATTTCCATGGGATCTATAAACCTAATCTTTAAAGAAAATCTACATTGTCTTGTTTGAAATACAGGCGTATCCTGCTTTTACATCAGATGGTGTTAGAACACTGATTTGAGAAGATCTCCATGTCACCTCTCTCAAAGCAAGTCTTACAATGACAATTATAGCTTAGCTAGTTCCCTACATGTAGCAAAGTGTATTCTTAAAGACATTTCTAATCATTAGCTGAATGTGGCTTCCAAAAACTACAGTGTACAAAAAAGGAAAAAGAAAATGCTGAGCTTGGAACTGGGCAGAAAGGATGGGCAGACTTACTGAGATGGTATTTCTCAGCTGACCAAAAATGTGCAGATTACACTATAGTTTCTTTTAGCACCCTAGTTTTGCCTGGTAGTTAGTGAACTGTCATATTTTCCATACTTAGCATTTTGCATTTTGAAAACCATTTCACTTACTGAATATGAGTAAGATATTTTCCATTCATCGGATGACTATGAGAGTCAAACATGGTGCAAAAATTAGAACCTTTTCAGATTAAATATAAGGATTTGTCTAGATGGTACAGAAGGTTTATATACTTCCAGGCACCCAGTTGACATGAATGCAAAGTAATGAGACTTTTAGATTTCTTACTGATGGAAAGAAAGTAAGACATATTGAGTTATAGACTGCCTATTTATGGCAACAGAGAGAATTTACATTTAAACCCAAGGACTGTTTTGTGAATTCTGAAAACTTTTCTAAGAATTAATTCAGTAGGCAACATCAATAAAGCAATATCACTTTAGCTTCTTAAAGAATAAGCCTATATTTTTTTTAGGTAAATTAAGCAAAATGGCAAAAATGATATTATATGCTCTTAGGAAGAATCCTGTACATGTAAAGACAATCTTGCTTTAATAAAACTTGATATGCAAAAATAACTGAAAATCCCCCAATTTTGTGAGTGTGATTATTTTCAGTACAAGTTCCAAAAAAAAAA